GCTGACAGGGAGAGAGGGCAGGAGTTAATTTTTATCTTTTATAAAAAACAGTCAAGAAGCTACTAGGAGCTTCTTATACTACTGCAGCAAGAATTATTTGCAGGAGCAGTGGCTTGCCAGATTGTGGGTTTTATTTGGGGATTTGGACATTTTAAATTCTGTTTCGTTCTTCAAGCACCTTTGCATAAGAGCTCATTGCAGCGATCAGAGAAAACTGCATTATAATACAGGCATGCATAGTGATGCTAGATTTCATATGGTTAGATTTTGCCCTTTCCTGTGAGGACTGCAAAGAAGTGAGTCGCACATACAGGCCTGCCTGTCTCCTCTCTGTTGTGTTTCAATTTCATTATGTGGGATTTTCTTAAAGTCAGCAACTCCCCGCAGCCAAGAAAAAAGATTTTATTACATGTTCCAGAGGGCAGTTTACGCTCATTCACAAAGGAAGAAAAACCAAAACAAAATAACCCTTGAGGTGGGTACAGAGTTGGATTGCGCAACTAAAGTCTGTTTTCTTGTGGAAATGTTTCTTTCCCCTTGAGGGAAGACTGCAAGAAACTAAAGCTTATGTATCTGACCATAAAGTGGGTGGGCGAGAAATACCAGACCCATATAAGGCTTCTCATGGCATAGGAGTACAAAGCTACTTTATTCTGAACTTTCCTCTGTCTCTTTATTTCATTAAATCTCTTTCCTTTTTCTTCATTTCAGAAGGCTTTTTAGGGACTTTGCTTTAATCCTTCTGTCCAATACTTAAAAAGTTTTCAAATCCAATTGCCCAAATGTTCTTTGCTTAGGGGAAAATTCTCCTTAACTCACTGAAGTTTAGCTGCATAAGCCTGGACTGAGGATTTCACTGCTCGGATGTAAGCTGCCAGTAGAACAAGCTCTGGGCTGTTGTGTTTTAGGCATCTGGAAACTTCATGAGCTCACCAAGCCCTGAGACTGAATTTAGTTACCTCATTGAGCTATCATTTAGTTTATTTAGCATTTTAGTTATATCACTCATGTGCTCCTCCCCCCCGGCTCCTGCCCTTAAAACTAAAAGAGAGAAGGTTAAAGACCCAAATAAAATAAATTTCTAGAGCCCACGTGATCTGTGTGCAGCGAGGGCGAGAGTCAGGCTGCAGCCCTGCCCCAGGTGCTTCCCACAGCGCGTGGGCAGCTCCCGTGGGGAAGGCTCATCTCGTCCAGGGCTCGCACCACGTTTCCCTGACCCTGCTTTATTTCCTGCTTGCTAGGGAGTGCTGGAAGAGCAGCTCGTCCTGGAAGGTGATGGCGCCTACAATGCACACTTTGGGGAGAGCATGGCCGTCCTCGGCGACATCGATGACGACGGCTTCCCAGGTCGGTGCGATTTCCTCCTGGGCCATTTCTCTGGAAATGCCAGCGGGGCTGGCGGCACTGCCGGTCTCCTTGCGTGGCTGGGTGCCGTGTGACATCCATCACTTCTCCAGACCCGGCCAGCACCTGGGCTCACGCCAAGGATAAATGCACTTGCGTAGGATTTGTCTGCTAAAGCCTTTTGTAGATGATTGTCCTTGATGTGGGTTTAGTCCGTGGCCTCGCAACTCGTACCCCAATCTCGTTAACATTGCTTTGCTTTCCTTGCTATTGCATTTTCTTCTTCTCTGTACAGTTTATAAAAGGCTTTAGATACCCATGCTCCGAACAAAACAGAAACCTATGTCTGACTTCTTCTTTCCCATTTCCTTATGTCTTCAAACCTTTCCAGTTTTGTTGACATAATCGCGTTTCTTATCATAAAGTGTAATTAAACTTCTCACTCCTGGTAGCATGTACTCTACTAATAATTTCCCTCCTTTGCTTTATTCTACCCCTGCTCCTTTCGCAGGCAGCTCAGCGCGAGGCCCCATGCTGTGATAGCAATAGGTGAGAGCAAAGTGTGGATGCTGGCACCTTTTCTGCCTTGATTTCTGGCAGCACAGATTGAGGACTTCCAAACAAAGGCCAACTTACTCAGTGTGTGCCTGGATTTATTTCTTCCGGGCCACTTGGGGCGTGGTATCCCATTAAGCCTAACCCAGCCTCATTGTAGGTTGCCCTCACAAATGGTGGGCATGCTCTTCCTCTGCGCTTGGACATGCGTTTGTGTGTTCTTGCTGCTGCTTGTGGGTCAAATGTGGTGATGGAGAGACTGCAGAGTGAGTTGGATCGATCTGTGGGTATGAAGCCATTGGGAAGAGTTTAGTTTTAGCAGCTGTGTAGTCGCTAGATCCAACTAGGAGGGGAGAATGGGAGGTGGGATCACTCTTTCTGCAGGAGTTTGCAGTTAAACTGGATCAAATGCTGTTTAAAAGTGCACCCTGAGCAGCCTTTTTTTCTTCCTGTTTATTCGTTTAATATACCCAGCCTCATTTTGGAGCATTGGATTTTCAAGCAAGCTTAATGTAGTGCTACTAGTAAATGTTTTGCCAATGCTGTCTTGGTTCATAAAGCTGATGTTCCCCTGTTGGAGATTTTGATACGAAAGGATTCAAAATTAACTTTTTGAGCATGGTTGCTGGTTAATAAACCAACATTTTCATAACAGGCACGTGTTTCTAATTAGGCAGAGCATAGCCACATGCGTGTACAAAGTCATATACATTTGTGTATTTTTTAAAGTTTATCTTAACATGAGCTCTTCATTAAATCGAACAAATTCCTTCTAGCCAGATTCACATAGCTGCTGACCATCTTCGTCATGGGGAGCGATTTTCCTATGGATAGCGGGCTTCTAAAATTGGGAAAAAGTTGGGTTAATGGAATGGATTGTGAAATGTTTATAATCTATGCTGTTTTACAGATGTTGCCATTGGAGCGCCTAAGGAGGATAACTACATAGGAGCAGTGTACATTTACCATGGGGCCGCCAATGGTATTGTACCTCAGTACTCTATGGTATGTGACATTATCGTTTACAATACCTGTCTGAAGTCACTTTCCCAGGGCCTACAGAAATAAACCAAACTTAGAGGTCCCTTTGTAGGTAACCTCATCATAGCTTTACATCCTTTTCTCAGTCCTGGTCTGAAGATGCCTTCTCCCAAAGTTTGTCCATATCTATGCTGTAGGGTAAAATTATGTTAGTCAGGAGATATTTTTCACTGTCTTTTGTTACAGTTATCAGCTGTAGCTTCCTTCTTGAAGCAAATGAAGTCTTGGGGTTTGAACGTCAGTTTTTAGAGATAGTACTGCTGCAGAAGAGAAATGAAAACCCTGGAGAGGTTGAGTATACAAATTATGGCGAGGCCAGTGGGGAGCTGGGAGGTTGTACTTTCTTCCTGCAGAAGCAGGCTTAGCAAGGAGCAAAAGGTACAAAGTTTTCTTTTGTGCCCTGCAGAAGCCTCTTTACCCATCTTGTTGGGTCTGTCCTTGCGATACGACAATATATCACAAGGCTGTTCTTGGGTGCCATTCCCCTGACCATTATTATGAAGTAAAATCTCGCTGGTGTACGCTATAACATCTTGTGCAGAGATCACACAGTGCAATTTAGCTACTGTAGCCAGGCAGTAGAGAAGATAAATTTATGCTCATGCTGCCCAATATGTGTCCTCTCGTCTCTGTCTAGCATATTTTCTTTTTTCCAGAGAGCCTGAATCTTCCCTCCCTCCGTGTGTTTGAAGTTCTGGTTGTTTTGTTTTGTTGCTGGGTGGGATTCTTCACAGTAAATCAGTTTAAGCAGAATTAAAGAGTTCAGTGGTTATATTGGAGACTCTTCTAACAGACCATAGAAGTTTACTCCTTCTTCCTTTTACCATGTATATGCCATGTGCTGCGTTTTAGAAAGAAGGAAGTTAAAACGACTCTTTATGGATACTTCTAAAATGCACTAATGTGTGGCATGCGGAGGATTCTGCCTATGTCTTGCTGAGAGCCACTGGTTGGGAGGTTCTCCTTTGGCTGTTGAAAAGCCTGGAGCTATCCAGCTCTTGCTGAAAAGGATCAGATTTTTTTTTTTTTTGGCCATTCATGGGAAAATTTTACGTTTTTTGAAAGAGACCAGATCAGCAGGGTGGGAAGCACAACATCCTGCTTGCCATCTCTCCTTCCCTATTGGAGCAAGGCCAGCAGACATGGTGCATGCCTCTATGCTTGGTCAGTGGGACAAAGCCCAGCTCAAGAGGGTGGCAGGGTACCGTGGTCATTGACTCTTCGTACCATTCCTGTCATTGTCCCATGTCCTGAGGCAGCCGAGGGGACACCACTTACAGGCAGTACCTCTGTGCCATTTCCCAGTGTCTATACTACTGGTTCATCTCCCACGTGCAACCAAAAAAGCTGTGTAAGAACTTCAGCTCCTTAGCTACCTACCCTGGATTTGAACCCAGAGGTGAAAGACTTTTTGTATCTTATTACTATACCCCTGAGCCATCTTAATGCCCTGGATTTCTTTTTTTAAATAAGCTGAGAGGGGGGCAGGTGGGTGCTGCAGAGTATATGTTTTCACCCTTTTCATTTTGTTAGTTTTTTTTCCCCCCCTTTTCTTAATTTAAATTGCCGATCAATGTTGTTCCTTCACGTCCCTTCAGCAGTTTTAGTGGCGGGGGTGGGGACAGCTTAATTGGCTTTGTGGCCTGCTGTTTTCATTCATGGCACTTAAAAACAGCGTGGCCTTGTACCTCTGCCTTCTAAACCATAATAGCCTGCAGATGTCCACTGGGATGTTTGCAGGCGGGATTTACCACCCTAACTGGGACCCCCCGCCAAAATGTGATGGAAGGGTAATGCGGGGAGGCAGTTACTTCCAGTTGTCTTAATCTTATCTGTCCACGAGTAGGAAAAGGAGATCCATACACAGTGGAGCACTGGTTTCCCTTTAAACTGGCTGTCAGGACTGCAGGGTATCTTTCTTCCCCTCAACTTGTCTTTTTTTCTATGAGTTTCCTCTCTGACCTTTTATGGGAGGGCTGGGAAAAACTGGTCGCATGTCACAAGCTGCGAAGCACCACCAACAGCCTCGAAATTACTTTGTGGGATAAGTCTCCTCTGTCTGTAACTTCTGCAGTCAGATGTTGGTTGGAGTTCAGGTCTTGCGTTGGTGGCCCAGCATAATGAATGAGAGTTGGGAGACATCTGATTGCCGCCTTAGAAAATGAGATTTTGGATATAATAATTTACTTCAAAGGCATTTACAATTCAAAACGTTTAGAGAAAGTTTTTGTGTTAGTAATTGAAAAAAAGAAAAAAAAGAAGCTATGTTAGAAGTTAATTAATCTTTCCGTTGGGGAGGCAGAAATGAGATACAGCTCCCAAACTGACACAAAATACTGCATAATAGCTGATGGAAACCAGAATTTCCAAGTGGAATGAAAATGAATCATTTTGACTTTGAGTATGCTGGCAAATTTTGTGAAAAGGAATGGTTATGCAGGATTTTCTGTTTCAATGAATCATTGATTTTGTTAAGATGCTGCTTAAAACTTTTATTTGCAGAAATTAAGGTAATGCAAAAAAAAAAAAAGAAGAAAATCACTAGGGTACAGTTAAATTTCCTGCCCCCCCCCTCCCCCGAAATCTATTTGATGTGTTCTTTATTTTGCTTGGGTCTGCATGAGGCTTGTAATGCAGGTGTGTTTTTTAATCCAAGTCAACACTGGCCTCCTCCTAGCCCAGAGCAGAAGGGCTTCCTGCGGTCATCAGCCTTCCTGCTCAGGGCTACGTGGGCGAGGTGCAAGCCTGCAGATGTGCAGCACTTCCAGCCCACGGAAGAGAGCCCCGGTGACCATGAAAATCAGGCTTGAAGGTTTTTTGGGGGGTTGATTTTTGTTTTGGTTTGGTTTTTTGCGGTGTTTTTTTTTTTTTTTTTTTTTGAGGATTTTTTTGTGTTACTGACTCATTTCACTCGTGTGTTTTCCACTGCAGAAGCTGTCTGGGCAAACAATAAGCCCAATGCTGCGGATGTTCGGTCAGTCTATATCAGGGGGAGTCGATATGGATGGCAATGGTTATCCAGGTATGTCCGCTACTCTGGCAGCAAGAGCACTGGGGAAATGCAGCAACAGGCTGAGAAAACAGCAGAGCAGGTCATTTCCAGGTTGCTGGTTCCTGCCATCACGGGAAGCTGATGAAGTTTAGCATTTTCTTCCCTTTCACCTCTGTTATTTGAAGTTCCTGATAAGAATTTAAGTCAGTTTCTTGATTCCAGTTTTTGGGCAGTCACGAAGGACTGAGATGTTAAAGGAGCAGATTTCAGTATCTGGCCAAGGTTGTAAGTTTCTTGGAAGCTGCTCAGTCATGATGACAATCTTTAAAAAAAAAAAAAAAAAAAAAAAGTAGACAATAATATAATAGTCATAATAAAAATCAAACAATGAAGTAGAAGTGAAATAACATCACAGACATAATACTCCAGTTATAATGCTTATGACATAATGGTATTTGAAGGAACCAACTGGCTGATGTAAGTCAGAAAAAGGCTTTTTTTAGCTACATGCTCTGTAATTTAGCAACTGATCTGAAAGAACTCAACTCTCTGCCTCCTTTGTAACTATCTCAATGTTGCAAAAATTTCAGATATGACTGTTGGAGCCTTCTTGTCAGACAGTGTGGTACTTCTGAGGTGAGATAAATGTCTTTTTCATCCGCTGTCATCTTCTTTTTCTCTGTTTTCTGTTTATATCTTATGTGGTCTAAGTCCTCCACCACTCCAATTTTCTCCCTAGTTTATTGTGATCAGAAGCAGCAAGCTGGATTACATTTTAAGCAGAACCTTAGACGTGGATGGTGTCAAAGAATGCACGATCTAATTTAAACAGCGTAGTGAGAGATGACAGTATGTAGGACTCCTAGGGCTGTGAAGAAATCAAAGGGTTAGAGCTGGAAGGAGATGTGTTGCATCTCAGTGCCTCTTTAGAAAGGTTGCTCTGAATTTGTCAGAAGGCTATTTTATTGTTCTTACATTTACATAAAGTAAATAAATTATGATTTAAGGGAACACAGTTGAGCAAAAAGCCAGCTGCGTATGATGCCAGAAGGTAATTTTGCAAGTTATAATGGAACACAGAATGAAATAGGAGTCTTCGGGGAAATGAAATACAGAGACATTTTCAGTGCACACAGGATTGGGGCTGCTGTTTCAAGTGTATGAGTTAAGTGCAATTGCTTGTTTCATCTGATGGAGAGAGGTGTGACAGCCTGGTTCACCAAATTATGCAGGTGGAGAGTTAGAGTAGGAGTGGGCTTGAGATGCATAGACCTGGGGAAGAGAATGGGAAGTTTGAATTTTGCCAGTGGCTCCATTGTTACACTTGTTAATATTTAATAGAAAAATCCTGTCAATACCTAGATGTCATTAAAAGTAGAAGTCACTAGGGACTCCTGCATCTTAATGGAAGATAGAGGGATGTGGTGAGACTGGCCAGACAAATGCTGGAGCTGCAGAATGGTTGTGCCAGCCTGCTTCTGTTCGAGGCAGGAAAAACTTGGCTCTGTTTCCATCTGAATCAGTTAAACAAAACGAAAAGAAAGAGGAGAGGAGGGGAGAAATGCTTTTGATGATCAACGTGGCAAGTGGTCAGGGTCTTCTGATGAGTTTTCTGTTCCTTCATCATGCGTGCACAGGAAGGCGAGTGCTGCTTCTGTGAAAAGATGTGCCATGCCCCAGAAGGGATCTTGCAGCCCCACATTTCCAAAACCACTAGAAAGAAAACTCTGCATTTTTCTCCTGCGTTGCTGTTACTTGCAGGAGGGGAAGGCAATCTGAAAGGCTTGCTGCGATGTTTAAAATAACATACATCGGAACAGGATGGTGACCTCTGTCCACGTGTTCAGTCATGTTTGTGTGTTTCAGAGGAAATTAGTGCATTACTGACTGACTTTGTGGGCAGCCTGATTAATTGCTGCTACTGCCAATTTACAGCATGTCCCTCTTGCTGTTTAGATTCAGATTAGATAAAAAAATTAGCTTTTTCTTTTTTTCCCCCTCACCCCTGCAGAAACCTTTGTGAAGTCCTTTGGCCAAAACCAACAAGTGTTTTGCCAAGTGATATTAAAGGCTTTGGTGGAAGCCGCGGTGACGTGGGGCAGATTGTCGTCGTTGTATTGCTCGCGTGTGCGTATGGCTGTTTGACAGATGCATTGGGTTTTTTTCCCAGTGAATAACCAAGCGAGCTAACGTTGAGGAAAAGTCACACAGTGCTTCATGGCTGGAGAAATATTTTTTTTCTAGGAGAAATATTTTTCTAGATCAGTTACAGCATTTACTCTTTTATGTGTCCCCAAGCATTTGGAAAGGGTTTTTTTCGAAGGTGTGAAATGATCCTAGGAAGCTCACTCTTTTTCCTCCTTTTTCCTTTCCCTGCCCTCCATTACTGTATATATTTCTAAGATTAGCATTTATCTTCATCCTCCATCTCAACATGCGAACTTGCACTGTTATTTCAGGCTGTGGTAAAAGAGTCTGAGCAGCTGTCTCGGAGATTGATGTGAATCTTGTTCCAGTTGATATGAATTAGGTGTAACCACAGTCCCCACTCTCTTCTTCCCCCTCTCTCCTGCCTCTAAATTAAGTGGCTTGTGGGATGAAAGTCCTGAAGTGGTTTACTTAGGTGGTCTGGCCTTGCACGGCTGCTGGGACTACCTTAGAAGTGAATCTGCTGGTTGCTGCACATTTTATTTTACTACTGGAGTCGGTTTTGGAAGAACATGTTCATGTTGAACATGTGCAGAATTAAAACCACGAAGAATAACACTCAGGGAATTTTGGGCTGGAGTCCTGCACTGGGGACGGCTCAGGAGAGCCTGGGTTTCTGGGCTGCTTTTCCCAACCAAGCTGGCAGGGCTTCTGGCTTGTGTGAGAGAGGAGACCCACCTGGGCCCTGATGGCACTTGGCTTGCTCTGGGATTCTGGCTGAGGTCGTCTTTGGCCAGGAATAGCCGTAGCAATAAGCTAGTGGGTGCCAGAGTTGCAAGGGTGGAAGGCTTTCATTCACAGTGCACCGAGTAACTCCTGAAACAGAGTTCAGGAGTGTGAAAAGGGTGTTGAATCCTTAGCACTCGCCAGGAGGGAATTACCCAAACATTCTCTCCTCCAGGAAACATGAATGTGGTGTCTGTTGTCCCTCTTATACTGTCAGAAAAATTATGTATGAATCCATCTCCTACCCCTGCGCTCCCTCCTTGACTTGCAGGTCACAAATTTGACTGTAGGCCATTCTCTGGAAACCTAAGTTCTCTGCCTACCTGTTCCTGACCATCCAGCAAGCAGTCTCACTTGCATGAGCTTGTTGTCTTTGGTTGCCATTGTGCTAATCTTTTTACATCCTCTTCAGTCATCAGGAAGGCTTTATGCAACTTTAGCTGGGGATGATGATTATTATTTTATATTATCAGTGTCCCCAGCTGCCTGCCTGCAGTCTGTATCTGAGCACTGAACTTGAAGCTGACTTCATGGTTTTCATTCAGACACTAGTAGTCCTTGCCAGCTAGGTCAAGTGCTGATGTAGTTCAAATACACTCTTTTATGTCTGCTTGAAGTTGTGCAGTTTACCAAATTCACTTTATTTCCCTTTGGCTGAGAACTTCTCTCTGAATGATCACCCAATTCCACTTCTCTGTTGATCTCCAGATCCAGGCCTGTCATTACCATGGACGTCTCCATTTTCCTGCCTGCGTCCATCAATATCACAGCTCCTCAGTGCCATGATGGCTTGCAGCCGGTGAACTGCCTCAATGTCACAGCCTGCTTTCGCTTCAGTGGCAAGCGTGTTCCTGGAGAAATAGGTAAGGTACCTGCGCCAGCCCTGGGCAGGGGCACGCTAGCAGGTTGACCTGGAGTCAAGGGCTCCCTTTGGAGTCAGTAACAGAGCTTTTATATGAAACAAGTTGTTTTGAGGTGAGCTGGGCTATATACAATTCCAGAAAGTTGGAAGCTCTCTGGGAACGTTCTTGGGCATGTTTTTGCCTTCCGATGAGGTGATGTAATACTGAGCCAGTTTCTTCCTCGATGAAAGGAAGGAAATGTGTCCTTGGGCTTACTGCAAGGACAGGGAACCCAGAAGCAATTGATGCTTTGTAAGTTCGTACTCCCTGTTTACCTCTTGATAACACATTTCTGTATCCATATCCTCTATCAACGTTATCAGAACGCAGGTGTGATTTGCTCCAGATTAATAGTTTTTGAAAGTCTGCAAGGAGCTCTTGAAACAGAGCGCTGTAAATCTGAATTCCTATGACATGAGCAAATCCTTTTCTGTACATCAGTTTACCTGTCTGTAAAGTGATTATAAATGGCCCAGTATTTTACTGATGGTGAGAATATCTTTCAGGTTAGTCTCTGTAAAACACATGGAGTTTCTCAGGTGAATGGAATTGTGTAAAGTGTGTAATTGTGCAAGCCTTTATGTCTTGGCTGCATTAAAATATTACGTCTTTTACATCCCAATGTTTACAAGTCTTAGATACTGTGTGAAGGGGTATGAAATAGATACGGCATTTCTAAATATTGTAAGGTCTGGGTTTATTCAGTTCAACCACAATGGTTTACCTTCACCATGTTTTAGGAATGGTAGAGGACTTTCAGTGTGCTGCTCAGGGAAGATACCTCAGCCTCACAGTGTGCTGCATCTCTGCAGTGGGTCTGGTGAGGAGCTGGGGGAAGCGGTGCCTCCTCCTGCTCTGTGCCCCAGCTTTTCTATGCTGCTAATTGAGAAGGGTGAGAGTTGCATCTGTGCATCCCAGTATGCAGAGCCTGCTGCAGTATTTGGGCTTTAAATGAGTCAGAGAAGAAAAAGGCTGCTTGCTACTTTTCCTGCCATTCACATGGAGTGGGAACTACAAGCTGCTTGTGGAAGTTGCTCTCTGCAGCTTGTCACTCTGTCACCCAAACAGCTCAAAAAAGCGGAGTTACTAAATTTAAGATTCCTCTGGATTCTAGCATATTGGTGCAACTGAGACTTCAGTTTCTATTTTTGCACTTTTTTCTTCCTTGTAAACGATGACTCTCAGCAGACAAATACGAGCTTTGACAAAGTATTTGTTACTAAATTTAAGATTCCTCTGGATTCTAGCATATTGGTGCAACTGAGACTTCAGTTTCTATTTTTTGCACTTTTTCCTTCCTTGTAAACGATTACTCTCAGCAGACAAATACGAGCTTTGATAAAGTATTTTTTGTACTGCCTACTACTCTGTCAGTTAAGAAAACACATATCTCCGAGTGCTCCAGGGGCGTTAATTCCTTTCTGAAAATCACTGAATAGATTTTCTGAATATCTACGTTTTCTTATGTTCCTGAGGGTACTGTTTAAAATGTTTCCTTTGCTTTAATTTCATATCTCTGGACCTGTGGCTAGGAAGTAAGCTGCCTTTTTTTCCAATCTAAATATCTGTTCCCCTTGCTTGCACAAGACCTATCTTCCTGTTCATCGTGTCTTGTAAGAGCCAGTTGAATTCCCCTGTGTTGTCTTACAAACTGTGCTCCCAGTGATTTATTGTGGTGAAAGCACATGTGCATCTTCTTTGGCAAGTAACATAGATCTCATTGCAAGGAATTTTTTTACTATTAAGTAGATGATTATAAAACTTCCAACCATTGTCCTTTTATACAATGCTTCTTGCAAAGTGATTTGTCTTGAAAAAGTTGCAGCCAGAACTATCTGACTGTATAAAACCCCTTGGGAATATGATTTGGATAAAATATCTCAAATAAGCTTTCAGTTTGTAATCTAATAGTCAGGCCATTTTAATTATGTTGCAGTTGAAGAGTAACAATTAACAAAGGGTGGAACAATTCATGGAAATATTGCAACGGTTCCTCTCCTGCATGGTTAAATGTGGGGAAAAAAAGAGAGTATCCCTGTAAGTACATCGTTGTCCATTTCAGACTCGGAAAGGCATATGGAGGTGTTAAAATGCTATGTCAAAGTTTTGTGGCTAAAAGTGTTGAGATCATCTCATCTTTGGATGTCTGGGGGTGGTCTGTTAAGTGAGACAGTGAGAACACAGTGCTCAATGGGAGCGCCGCTCCCCTAAGGCTTGTCAGCATGGATGCTCGAGGCTGCTGCTTCCTGGTGAAAAGCTTGGGCGTTGCTCTTGCTTTTGGGCAGCTGAAGTTGGTCACCTACTACACAATGTCTGGAAAGTCAAGCTGAACATGCAGACAGCATTCTTCTGTGGCAAATGTGTGTATTCAGTGCTTATTTGAACATCTGGTTATTTTGTTAACTGGCATGTGAAGGAAAGTTGTCTTCATCTAGCACTGCCTCACACTTGCATATAAACCTTCCCCACCCTCTTTTTTCTTTTTTTTTTTTTTCCCTCTTGTAGCGGTAGTTGCAATACTACTGGTCGTGTAACAGCTATTTGAGGATCTGTGTTTCTTGGTACTGCTTGATATTGCCAATGACGGTATAATTCCCATCCATTTTGTGGATACTGTTTGCAGACTATGGTCTTCAGAAATACGAATTTATTGCTGAAATGTTTTTGTCTCAACAAAGAGCCATGCCCAAGTGAAGCGTGTGCTCTGCACCATGTGCCAGGCATTGTCTGACCCTTTGCTCTGCCTCAGCGCTTGCTGGAGAGCTGAGCATCTAGATGTACGCCCACTGACAGCGACAGCCTCTGGTATGTCTTGGATGTGTGAGAAATACGGCATTTTAAGCTTTCAGTGTTTCACCTCGGAATCTCGCTCGGGCTGTTCGTCCCTCACTTAAGGGGCCATTGCGTTGTCTCCTCTGGAGTTTCTGTATCTGCAGGAAAGGCAGAGATGAGAGAAAGGCCTTTGCTAGCCTGGATGAGCAGGCTTCGGCCTCTTCAGACCTTGCGCTTCTGGTTGACCAGGACAAGAAAACAGAGGTTGCTGGCATCTCAGTGCATCCAGCGCTGCTTCTGCATTCATCCCTGCAGGAGAATGGAAATAAACTTGTGCCCACAGTCTGGATAGTTTCCTCTACAATAACAACAACAACAACAACAATAATAGTGCCAGTGTGAGAACTAGGTGAATGTTAGTGGCTATGAAAATGAAGGGTTTGGGGCATTTAACTCGAGTTAGGCAGATGCATTAGAAATAGCTTCAAAGTTTCTTCTGTACTCTTCACTTCAGATGTGCATTGCTTGTGTGTTGATCCGTTTCTAGGGTAATCCTCATGTCCCAGATAGTGTCGCCTGAAAGACTGGTGTGAGATTTAGTGTGGGATAATAGGTTGTTTGATATTTTCATTCTGCTTGAATATGTTTCTAGGACTGAAGAAACATAGAATCACAGAATCGCATGCCTGATCCAAAACCTGACAAAAGTGGACACTCCTCTTCTTACCTGTATGCTGCTGTAGTTTAGTGCAGGAGTATTATTTCTGTCTGTCTGTCATTTTTCCAGTCTGCTTGAATGCAGGCCTGAGTCCATGCTACCCTCTGAATGCCTCCGAAGCAGGGATGCTGTAAGGATGTGTTGTTCAGTGTATGGAGCAACAAGGATGGCTCCCTACTTACAAACTAGGGACAATACTATGAGAGAGGGTTTGAAACAAGGTTTGAAGGAAGGGGTAAAGGAAAGCTTCTTGGAAGAGGAGGGGGGGAATGTCTTATGTATGTTGTCATTTACTAGGGCTCCTTTTTTAAATATTTTCGTTACTTAAGAATTATCTCTGCAAGCAAAGTTGATGAATCATTTTCTCCTCGTAATTGCTGGTAGAGACAGCAAAGAAACACATTCCTCTTCCAATGGCTTTTTGTTATTACGTAGTAAGTTCTTCATTTTCTCCATGTGGTGCCTCCCTTCACCCCCTGCGAATCAGTACTATTGCTAGTAGTTTAACAAGCGCTTACAGATGTGCTTGTTCCTACTGGGCATTTTGCCGCCTGCTTTTTGTGTGCTGTAGCATCATCTGAGTGGGCGATGAAGGGATGTGCTGGGTGGCTCAGGGTGTGTAACCCCTCCATTAGCACAGCCACTGTGATTCCTGTTTTAGCTCACGGGGTGCCACTGCCCAATTTCAGTCCCTTCTCATTCCTCTCTGCTTCAGAGTAGCCTTCAGCCCTGTGAGGGGATGCCTTTTGCATCATGAGTACGTATGTGCCACTGAGGATGAAAATCCATTATAAAATACCTGCTGCCATTTACTTGGTGCATCTGTTACTGGCTGGAATAACTTGTGTGGTTTGCTGGCTGGTGACCCTCTTGCAGGAATGACCAAAAATTTCTCAGAAAGAGCTATTATCAAAGCTTTTAGGCATTTAACTTTAGTTATGGAAAAGAAATAGTCATTAGAAGAATCAAGCTGTTCATCTGACCTCATGAAATCCATGCCAGAGTTTTATTTTGATCGTGTGAAGTTGAGTGGGCAGATCCCCAGAAGCATTTCTAACCAGATGCACTTAATGCTGCTGGACAAATATTTGAAGGCATTACCTGGAAGAGTTAATTTGCTAGCGAAAACTTGCCTCCCAATCTCCTACTGGAATGAGCAGGAGGAACTTACACCACCAGCAGTGCTAAGTCTGGCCAGTTATCTCCCCACCCTGGTTGTAATGAAGCTGGAGAGGGGAAAAAAAAAAAACCCTTACTCATGATATATCAGCTTTTCCACTGATCTGACATCATTGGATATAACATAGAAACAAGTTGTCAAAATAAAGGGGAGGTGGAGGGGAGGACGAGAACTGTGCTGCTTGATTGAAAACATTCACTGCTTTTTCAGAGACACAGTAGCTGGGATCGCTTTGCTCAGAGGCCCGGTACGGAGCTTGTGTTGGGATGCGTCTCTGCGCCTGCAGGGAGGAATTGTTCAGTGTCAGTAATACGTTGTGCTTCCTTCGGAGAGCCCCTGAGCCTCCCCAGGCACCCCTACGAGCTCTGCAGCCCTGCCTTCCTTTGGGGCTCCTCCTTGGAAGAGGGCTGCGTTTCCCTGCAGGGTTTATTGCCTCTGCCTATGCAGGGCCTGGGTTCACTAACGGGATTTCTTGTCTTTATTCTTGGGAAGCCAGTGCAGATCTCAGCATGCGTGCGTGCATGTGAGGTCTTGAAAGCGGAAGGGAGACAATTGGGAATGGGTGTGGGATGGGTGCTCTTTAAAAAAGAAGAAAGAAATGTTAAGAAAGAGACTGCTGGGATTTTAAACAGGCTAAAACCTGTGTTTCTGTTTAGGTGGTGCTCTTTAGTGGGACTGAGCAAACACCACTTCAGTGAGAGCTTTTGGTGTTGAGCTTCTCAGAGTTTGAAACGTTTTCAAGGCATTGTCCTTCTCAGCAAGTTATTCTGCCAAAAGCAAGTGAAAAAAGTTTAGGTGGAGCCCTGTGATGGTAGTTAGGCTGATTCCTCAGCTGTGGCTTTTCTTACCACCTAGGTTATGTCCCTGATTGTTTTGTGGGAACCTGTGAGTGAGCTTTTAATCAGAATGCAACGCATTACAAATGGAAGTAAGGTCAGTTTGAATTATGTGAATTATGAATGTTCACAGGGACTTTTGCATCAAGTTTTACAATACCATTAAATAAAGTCTTCAAAGTAGTGAAATTTTGGTGGAGAAATGATTGGAGGTGACAGCGTTGGCAGCAGTGTGTTTAGAGAGATAAGGATTTTCATTGATTTAAAAAAAGAACGCCACCACAAAACCAAATAAAAACACAAGAAAACCCAGCAAAGACCCCTTCCTGGAAGTTGGTATAGAAGACCTCACTCCAGGAATGTGTTACACTTACATTGATTGTTTATAAAATTCTGGCTTTAAAAAAGTTTACATTTATGGGGAGGATATTATCTGGCATCAATCATTTAGGACTTAAAACATAAATAAAAGCCAAAGCAATAATTTGGCAAGCACCCTACATGTGCAACAAATCAGCACAGGAGCTAGGGCTGGCTGTCATTTATGAAGATTATCAACTAATTAAGCCATTTATAGTTAGCCAATCTCATGGTATTCCCACTATTGCCTTGATAACAGCTGAAATCAATACAGGCCATCGTCTGTGATGAGTGAAAGGACCTCACAGCCAGTGCTTTCGTTGTTTGTAGAAAGCAGCAGAACAGGCATTCGTGCTTCTGTTGCAGTTTCATTGCTCCTGTTGTTGTTGCATTTACCAAAAGGAAAGGCATAGTCAGCTTGGATTATTCAGTTACTGTACAGCTACTTCAGGTAACAAGTAAGTTTTCTTTTGGATACAGATACATCCAGTCACAAACCAACCCATTGTGTTAAGCTCCCTATCCTGAAGAACAGCAGGAAACAGGATTTACAGAGATACAGATCATTAGTCTCTGGGTATGTCTTCTGTAAACTGCCAGGGATGTGTAACATCTAAGAGGGGGATAGGGAGTGTAAGGCAGGGACCTCTAGTTAAGGTCTAAACGCGAAGGTGACAGCAAATCAACTAAAGTAATGGAAGTGCCACATCCTGGTTGACGTTTGCATGGTTTGTGCCGTTCTAGAAGGAAAAGAAAGCTTGAGGCTGCTGCTGTTGTTGTTTGTGCTGTGTTTTTGCTTTTTCTGTTAGCAACATAGTTTAAGCAACTTTTGTTTCTCTTTTTTTATTAGGTGTGCGTGTCTAGATGTATTTTTACACATCATTTCCTATGGGGAAGGATGGGCTGGGGAACGTAGCAACATGAAAGCTGGGAGTACATCAGTAATTGCATTTGGTTTTGTTCAGCCACAGGAAACTTAATGATTGATTGAGGGCCTGCAAGGGTTGACCTTTCTTCAAGCACACATGCCCCGGGGGCAACAGGATCCATTGATAGGTGGCTAGAAAATAACTATTGTTCACTGACATCCTTTGTTTTCTTCTTCTTCCTTTTTAAAACAGGTTTGAATTATAACTTGACTGCTGATGTGGCAAAGAAGGAAAAGAGCCAGCAACCCAGAGTTTACTTTGTGATTTCTGGAGAGTCAGCGGGGCAGATCATAGAGAAGTTACAACTGTCGTACATGCAGGAAAAGTGTGAGCACTACCTAGCATATGTCAAGGTCAGTTCATTCTTGTCCTTACTTACGTTGGCCTCACTGCAATTCCACTCTGTGGGTGTGTGGTTTGGTGGGTTTTTTTGTTAATATTCACCCAATTAAAGTGGTGCTGCTTGGCTTTGGATGTTCTTTTTTTTCCTGACAGGTGGGTGAAGTTTTTTAGGTGGAAGCTCAGAACTTCTTGAGTTTTGGCGTGGTTTGTCAGTCTGAGCACCACTGAGCTTTCAAGACCTGGTGCCAGGAACATGTATTTTATTTACTTTTGATCAGGCATATTTGCGGGGAATTTCTTTCTTCTTTTGACTTGGTTTGTTGCTACATTTGTTATACTCAAAATAAGGAGGCAAAGTTTTGTTTTGGCAGGAGCAGCAGGTTCATTGTTTAGCCTTGTGTAAGGTCTGACTGCACAAGGGGCTGGTGATGCAAACTGCATGGGAATGGCAGGATAACGTGGGGTCTGTCCTGAAGCAGTTGAGCTCTTGGGTTTGAAGAGCACCCTGGATTTCATCTGGGCTTGAAACTAGCAGAGAGGTAACTTAATTTCACGTGTGTCATGGTCCTAGGGATACAGAGAGCACCTTATAGATGTTCTGGGACATACAAAGGCTCTGTTCTTCCTGTAACAAACTTTTCCTCCAGTGTCTGCTAGCACTGTAGTTATCTTCGCTTGGCAGCTGTTGTTGAAGAAATGGCATCCAGGTGCCATTCTATTTGCAAAGTAAGCACAATAGTTTTATTCTCAGCTAAGAAATTTATAGAATGGATTTTAAAATTATATAGGAAGGAGATTTATCTTTTAAACCGCATATGTCTTACAAGCAGTAATCTGTGTCACCAGTCTAGTGGGAAGTATGGTTGTGTGGTGAGTTGCATATCCTCCGTACTGAAGGACATATTTCTATACGTGAGTGGGACCTAAATTCAACGGTTATCACTTTGCGCTGTTTTGTTTTGAGAATCCAGCAGGTCCAGATATCCCTCGATGTATAAACTTTTCCAGGAAGCTTCTTTGTACCTAAAAACTGTGAGAACAGGAGATAAAATTCATCCTTTAACTTTATCAACATTTTGCGCGTGGCTGTTGAGAGAAAATAAAATAAATAAAGGGACCACCAAGGAGGAAACGCTGTCCTGTTAAGTTGTGTGCATCTCTGGGAAGAGATTTTTTTTGTTTCTGGAACAAACTTTACCTTCTGCTGTGGAAAAGCTCGTTAAAGAAAATGTAGACCTATGAGATCACCATTACTTAGAAAATATGGCTGTGAGTTTACTAATTCTGGTCTTTCTCAAATGAGCTTATCTGTTTAGGCTTTAATGTATTGAGTTTGGGTGAAAAGAAGCCATATGCCCTTCTATCTTAACCCAGTAATTTTTTTCACACTAACCCTGTTGTAGTTTTTGAGTACTACACAGAATTCATTGAAGAACTACGTATGCCCAGGAAACTATATAAGTTATTGTAGCATTTCTGGCTCATGTTGGGAATGCAAAGGTAAGAACTATTTTTTTCTGGAAAATTCCTAGGAAATTTGATTTTTATGGGCAAGAGAAATGTTTAAGCATGTTTAAAAATAATAACAAAGCAAAACAGCTGGTTAACAAACAGGGCTACTGGCTTTCTGTATGATATAAGCAGCTATTTTTCACAGTTGGAAGAATAGCGGGAAATGTCGTTTGTTTGTGTAAAGGAGAATGCAAAGTAGAAAGATAATCCCTGTGCTTTCATGGGAAAGGTGATATGATCCACAAGGCTACATGACATTAGAAACATCAAAGGGAGCCCTGCAGACTCTGGAGGAGTGGAAATGGGGTCATGATCTTTCATTGCTATCCTTAAGTAACAGCTAGTAAAACCAAAACAAAAACCCTGAAAACAAAAAAACCCTCCCCAAACTCCAACCGGAAATCTCTTGATTGCATAGTTTTGTGATGGAATGGGTGATGAAAGTTGTGGACTTAAAATATAAGTAGTATTTCGCTTGGGCTTTCCTCTTTCCTTTTATTTACCGTATGCCTGATGAAATTACATACGTGGCAAATTGAGTTGTTTGCTGTTGCATCCTCAATCTGTTCACTTTATTACTGTTCATTTGAATCCCTGGTGACAAGGAGGTTTATGTGGTTAACATGAGGATGTCAGTTCTGGACTGCCTGTGATCAAGGACAGAGAAGCTGTTAGGACTTGTGCGTGACCTCATGCGCTAGCTTGACAAACCCTACTAGGGAAACGCGGCATCCAGTCCAAATGGCACACGGCAAAGCTCTGTAGGTTCCGTCACTTAAATGAAAGCCTGTACCAGGCCTTGTTGGGCGATATTGTCTTACCAACATGTAGTTCTAGCATGCTGGAGGCATAGAACAGAAGGACTAAGAAAAGTAATGAAAAAAACTAAACTTGCACAAGCTTGCTGCAATTTCTTTTGACACATTTGATCTCAGGAGACCCCAGTGAAACTGAGCACTAGAAGAGTTGCAGTCTGCAAATAAACTGATGGGGATACTCATTAAATCATTTTGCAATTGATAGGTGTCGATGTTTTGAGCATGACTCCTTTCCTGTTTGTCGTTCGCTCTCGGGACAGGAGCTACTGTTCTTACTGCTGCTGCTGAATTTGAGTATTAAAGTCTGGCTTTCCTCACAACTGTGTGACTGAGATAAGTGGATCTTGGAAGGTTTGTAGGGTATGTGTAGCTCAGAACTTGACCTTGTATGAAGCAGGCTACCAAATTACAAGTCAAGTTGCTAGAATTATGGTAATTCATGAGAAAATGTCTTTTTCTGGTTGAGAATATGAAATGGAAATGCTTTGGGACTTCAGAATGCTCTGAGTGTGGTTTTTGTAGTGGGCATGGGGAAGTAAAGGAGCGATGCAGTTTTCTGACTTCTTTTCTCCCCCCCTCCTTTGTTGGAACCTGTTTGATGATTTCTAGTTAATAAACTTTAATTCTTTAGTATACACAGACAGCAGTTCCAATACTCACAGTGCCTCAATTGTCATCTGCAAAAGCTGCATTTGTTTTCATTGAAACAACCTTTGGAGGTTTGATTGATACGTTCAGCAGAAAATGGGCAGCTGGTGCAAGTGGCTGTTAATTGAGAAGTTCAGGAGCATCGCTGGTTTTGTCATGTCAGTGCGTAGCTGATCCCTGCCGTCCCTCAGGAGGTGGCTTTGCTGCTGGCCAGTTCCTCCTCTGGCCCTCTGGGAATGATGGTGCTGTCCCTACAGACCTTCTCTCCTTCAATGGCGATAAAACTACGAGCAGCAGGTAAATACGTTATGTGGTAACTCTCTGCCAATTTTGCTGGAGGAAAATGAAGCAAAAGTTTAAATCTGATTTAGTTTGTTTTTTAAAGGGATTTTTTTTTTTGGTAGGAGGAATGGCAAACATAGACGTAAGAAAATGGGATGTGGTACTAAGAGGAGAAGAGGCAGAGATTGCAGAAGGGGGTCAAAACAAAAAAAAAAAAGGAAATAAACGGGTTTGGAGGCTTTACAAGTGTCTCCTTAATATCTGGACCTGCGGCTGAAATGTAGTTTTCTCTTGGGAGCTCCACTCGTTTGATGGTGCTCAGAAGACTTGAGTTGTGATCAGGGTACTGATTCTGAGGAAACATTGCTTCCCCTTTCCAGTAACTGCCCTGCTTGTTTCCTGCATATGTGAGCTCCCCTAGTATTTCGAATGGATTTACCTGTGGATGGGACAAGAGAATTTGACACGGCCAGCAAAGCACATTGTACCTGTGGATTTATGCAGGGTCAAATTTTATCTTCCTTGATTTATCTCAAAGATGTAACGGTGGTGATGGTGAAAACCCCTTGTACGATTCCTGCGTTTATTAAAGAAGCCCTGTCTGGTTCCTTACCCCACCGCGGGCCAGCCTGCAGGGCTGCCTGTTGCTACCGATCCCTGCTGTCTGTGTGCAGAGGGAATGTCCTAATAGCTTCAAACACCATCAGCAATCCTGGCACAGGATTAAACCAGACATAGCATTTATATTTTCCAGAGATCTTTATCTTGGTGACTGTCTGGTTGTTTTAAGCAGTCTCATGTTGCTCATCATGTTCGCTCTTAATGGATCCGGCTGTAGCTCATGGGGAGGATGAGGCTGAGAAGCAGCAGAGGAGCGGTGGTACCAAAGGCTTTTTGTAACGGCGTGTAGGCGAGGAGCTTGTGCTGTGTTTGTACAGGCAGGTTTGGAATAAAATGCCCCCTTTTCAACAGAAATCGCCCAGCTGTGTTTTGTTCACTGCTGAATTCTGTAGCCAAAATTTTGCCTTTTTATAAATATGTTTCTGGCCTTTGTCTGCCGTGCATCACTGTTACCTCAGGTCTCTAAAGATACTCTGGGCTGCTGATCTCACACAACTTCATCTCCAGCGCTTGCCAAATTTAGTCACTCTCTGTGGTTGTGATTGTTTCTCCCTCTGTAGCTCTTTGATCTCGTCTGAGGGGGATGCATGTATTAAAGGGTTTTATTCTTGATTCATAGTAACCTGGCTTTTTTCTAGAGCGTGTAGCAGAGCGTTCGGTTTCACAGTAATGTGTGATGTAGAGATGGTATCACCTTGATCATTTGCAAGATGCACTTTCTTCTGAAAGTTGTCTGCCTGTGAATTAACATCTCTATGTTAAGGTTTGGCTTGTGGTGTTACAGCATAGAGACATACAGCCAGAGACACTCAAGAGCTTATTTTGAAGGTTGTTTTCTGTTTGTTTTGTTGTGGTTTTTTTTGTTTTTAATGGGACTGGTTTCTCCTATACTGTCAACACAGAGCCTTTGGGAGGGGATTGGTTTCAGCAGACCTTGGTCGCTCACTTTTAGCAAGGCCTTTCCTGGGAGGCTGGCACTGTGAGTGATGGAACATGTGTTGGATGCAGATGATAACCACCACTTTGCAGAGGAAGAAGTGAAAACCAGACCCTTGGCAAGTGCAGCTGCCCTCAGTAGTGGCCCAACTGGTCCTTCACGCCTCTCCCTGCGAGAGAAGTCAGAGCAAGTC